CAAATAGCCCAAATTCACATAAAGAAAGAAAACACCAACTAAATGCAAGTAATTCGAAGTAAAATACAAAACCCATATATAGAAACCAAGTTTTCCTACATACTTCAATGATATACTGAGCAGCAGCAGTCCGGTTATTCAAGGCAGCCCACTGGAGCGCATAGTAACCAAGCCCGTCCGGCTCCGAAACAGAGCACCCCTCGCACTCCACCAATCTCTGGAGCTTCTCCAAATCTCCGTACGCCGCTGCAGTGTAAACGTCATTCCTCAAACTCTCTTCACCGCCACTCAGAACAACCCCATTAGTCCCGGAACCCGATCGGCCATCGTTCTTGGAATTTGATTGAACCTCTTCAACAACCTCAATCTCCGAAGACATTTCCTTCCAAGGAGAAAGAAAAAAATAGTAATATTATAATTGACGAGAAGAACGAAGTGACACTTCGATCGCATCCAATTATGGTACCCGAGATTCGATCAGGGTGTGATATGGTTTGACTTTCTATGTGGGTTTTTCCGTCCGGGAAGATGATTTATTTTAGGGAAAGGTGTGATGCGGGCGCTAGGGTTTTTCGCAGAAGGAGATCGAGGTTTGGGCCTTGGGGTTGCTTCGCCGTCCGTGTTGACTGGGGGTTGTGGGGGGAGAGACGATAGAGGCCAAGCCACGTAACCTTTGTCTATCCATTGCCAAGAATTTTCGCTACACAAGTTTAAGGCCCTGTTTGGCGTGCGAAATTCATTTTTCACATGATCCCCCGGTAGGACAATTATGACTTTGATTAAAATATATTTTTAATTACAAATTATTTAATATATGTAGAACTAGTTGTACAATTAAATATATTAAAAATATATTTTAATTATTAAAATATTTTTTTATATTTACCAATAATTTTTTTATATTTAAAATATTTAGAGAAATCGAATTAATTTATTTATTACTTCAATTATTTTAAGAATAATTTTTATTTAATTTTAGTATTAAAATATATATTGCAATTAATAATTTTTTTCTAATTTTTTTTATTTATATGGAAAATGTATATTTAAATTTATTTTTAAAATATATTTATATGAATAAAATTTACAACTAATATATATTAAACCACATAAAATAATATTTAATTATAATTATTCGAATTTATTTCAATTTCAGAGTTTTAGAGATTTGAACCGTAGGCCCAACATTTGATCCGAAGAAAGGGAATAATTTCCTACGTCCGGTAGTAGAATAAAATGTTAGTCTTCCACCAATAATTTTTCTTGGTCAACTCATTCTGGCATTTGATTGGAGACACGTAATTTCCTTATTATAGAACGGGAAACACCTGATTGTTTTAAGACCCACTAAGACCACTCCAAGACGCGTGATCATTTCTTACTCCAGATCCCAAGCAGTGAGAAAAAATATTTCAAAATTATCTGGAAGAAAGTCAACGCTCCCGAAATTAAAAATGTTATTGCCACCCCCGTTTTCACTTGTTCCACTCCTCTCCTATAGCTGACATCCAATCAGCTTCCTTAAATTTTCGTGGAAGTATCAAAAATCCGCCTGGAGTTATCAAATCTTGCCACAAAACCCCTAATCGGACCAAACTCTAGGGTTTACCACAACCGGATCCAGACCCAGAAGCCGCTCAGGTACTCTCTCTCTCTCTCTCTCTCTCTCTCTCTCCTCTGCTTGTTTTTCAGGGTCTTCTTGCTTATCTCTATCTTTCTCCAGACCGCTTTAGTTCAATTCCATATCTTGTTTTCTGACGTTATATTGTTTTCTAAGCAGAGTTTTTTTTGGTAAACAATGGAGGTAGCTACTCTCAGCTTAC